GCTGAATCTTGAGCAGTCTTCATACATATGTAGATAGGCTTGTAATCACTGAGTACCGCTTTAGATCACGTACTCGCCGGTCTCTAATCTTCAGTTTCAGTCTTCGACGTTTGCTGAAGGTTCTTTGGTGTAGTGTTGTCTTCTTGAAGTATTGCTGTCTCTGATAGATTTACAGTGCAAGTTCTTCAGCGATCACTGAACATACTCGGAGAAGATCGCTGGAACTGAAAATACATAAACATAAATACAACGTATAAGTAAAAAGGGATTATCATCAAATCACTGAGAGAGAGGATCAACACATAAGCTTAAAGTTATGGGGGAGCTTGGAATGCTTTGAAAGACATGAAGATGGCTACACCAAAGTTTCTAAAGAAATAAAGGAGGATATTATTTGAAGATGCTTTCTTCATAAAACTTTAAGGGGAGATTGTTGGGTTTATTTAGCCCTAATTAAATGGAAGTTTTATAAAGAATCTTATATTTTTGGCTTTTAAGGAGTTTAATGGGTTTGGTATTTCATTTGTAATTTGGGCACTATAAATAGGTGTCTTGTGCTCATTTTTGTCATTTGAGAATTTTAAGATCACACACATACACGTTGAGCTTTAAGAGTCGGTTCTTAATTGTTCAATTCTCCTCCATTGTAATCAAATCATATGAGTTGAGATCATTCAATAAAATGTTCTTTATGCTTATCTCTACTCAATTTCTATGGAGTATTATGATTTATTGATTTGTTGCCTAAATACGAGATCCATAGAAATCATTAGGTAATCGACAATCCTTGTCATATTTAACGGCAACGTCGTTAGTACAATATGTGAAATCATTCTTCCGGTCTTCGCTAAAGGTATAAACAAACCTACCAAGTTCAATGTCATGGATTGCTCCTCTGCATACAACATTATCCTCAGACAACCATGGATACATGATATGAGAGCTGTTCCATCAACATTTCATCGCACAACTAAATTTCCTACTTCTTGGATCATCCAAGAGATTAAAAGTGAATGGGAAAACGCAAGAAAATACTATAAGACAACGATGGAGCCTCGAAAAAGCACCATCTAGTAATTACAAGGGATATCAAGATAAAGTCGATGACTAACAATTGCAAGAAGTCATTTTAGATCTTGGTAAAGATGACAAAACCGTGCAAGTAGGGGCATCGTTGGATCCAGTTATTATAGACCAACTCATTAACTTCCTAAAATCAAACACTTACTGTTTTGCTTGGACGCATAAAGATATGGTCGACATTAACCGCGCCATCATATCACATAAGTTAAATATAGATCCCACCTTCAAACCTGTCAAGCAAAAACGATGAATATTCTCCCAAGAACGAAATAACATGATCAACAACGAAGAGGAAAATCTATTAAAGAAGGGAAAATTTTGTGAGGTGAATATCCTGACTAGTTAGCTAATGTTATGGTTGTTCATAAGAAAAATGGTAAATTAAGAGTTTGTATAGACTTCACCGATCTTAACAAGGCTTGTCCTAAGGATCCATTTCCTTTACCCCACACTGACGATATGTCGACGCAACTCCTAGACATGAATTACTAAATTTTATGGATGCTAACTCTAGATATAATCACATACTCATGCAAATTGTTGACTAGGAAAAAAATTGTGTTTATGATCGACAAGGGAATTTATTCCTATAAAGTAATGTCGTTCGGTCTTAAAAATGCAGGTTCCACTTATTAGTGACTTGTTAATCGAATGTTCAAAAAACACCTTGGTAGATAGATTGGAAGTCTATATCGACGACATGCTAGTCAAATCCAAAAAGGTGACAAATCATATTGATCACGCCCGACAATCCTTTGACATCATACGACAGTATCAAGTGAAATTAAACTCGACCAAATGTTTCTTTGGTGTTTATGTAGGCAAATTTCTTGACATATGATAACACAGAGGTATTGAAGAGAGTCCTGAACATATTAACGTGATCATCAATATCCAATCGCCCATAAATTTGAAAGAGGTACGTCTTACAGGACATGTCACTGCTCTCAACAAGTTATTTCTCGTTTTTCCGACAAATGTCACATATTTTATAATGTTCTACGCAAAAAAAAAGGATTTGACTGGATTGATGAACATGAAAAATCTTTCAAAACATAAAAAGCATGTCATCTCCTCCTATATTGTCAAAACCAAAGAAAGGTGAAACCTTGCAACTTTATTTGGTTGTCAATGCCACTTTAGTTGGTGTCGTCCTCTCTAGAGAGAACGACAAACAACAATTTCCGATCTATTACGTAAGTCCCATTTGGACACTGGAAAACGTTATTCAATGGAAAAATTACTCGTCATTAGTAATGTTTGTTATTTAAAAATTGCGTCACTGCTTTGAAAGTCATTCTATTGTCTCTCACCTGGTCATCAATCAAATGAGTGGTGAATTTGTGACCAAGGATTGAAAAATGACTGTGTACCTAAAAGTGGCTAAAGAAAAATCTTCGATTTTTAACCCTTTCTCGAAATGTCAAATACCAAGGGATAGAACATTCAAGCGAATGCTTTGGCTAATCTAGATTTCACACTTAAAAAAGCCCCATTTGACGTAGTTCCTTTGATACATGTAAAGAGTCGATCAATAAATGATATGATTTGAGGACCGACCCTACCTTAGCAAATTTAAGGATCATGAAACAAGTGCAACTCATGTCATGAATATGAAAACTTGATACGATTTAGGTTTAAGTGTTCAAAAGTTTCAAACTACCGACAAAGTTGCTCAATAACAAATAGAAAGAGAAAAAATCTTTAGGAACAACTCTTGGTAAGAATATCTTCTATTGTGAAGTTTCTTGCAAAACATATTCTTACATTTTATGGTACTAATGGAAGAATGTACGAAAACAACAACAATTGGAAACATCTTCAGGTTTGAATGACATGTTGCCGAATTTGACGTAATTGTTCATGATCTTGTTTATCGTATTACAAAATATGATACAAGTAAACATTACTTTCGTAATAAAATTTAAATGCATTAATAACTTCGCTTGGTAAAAAAAATTAGATTTGAAATTATTAGCAAAGTAAAAGAGGCAAAATATTCTTTGATTCTTCTTGATTTCACTAGGTCATCAAGAACAAATGTCTTTTTATATTAACGTATGTATATCATTTCTGAAATTGCTAGTATTAAGAGGTAGATGATACCACAGGCCAAGGTCTATTTGATGTTTTAAAAGCTGATAAAGTGTCTTGGACAAGATATAAATAATGTATTAGACTACATATAGATAATATACTAGGATAAGGTTATGATAATAGTTCAAATATGAAAGGAGAACATCAAGGAGTGCAAAAGACACTTTTAGAAGCATTTATTTGACATATCACTCGGAATATGAAAGTCCGGTCATAAATATTTACTTATATGATATGTTATCCAACATGTTGTTCTGCGCAAGACTTGGTCCACAGTATAAAAGCAAATGAAACTTGGATAATAACAAGAAACGTCCAAGTACTCGCAAAGGGTAGAGTGACAGATAAACGAACCACGTTACAAGCTTGCAAACGCTTAAGAGACAGACTGAAACTTAACGAGACACCATTTAGCGACAACTACAACATACATATTATACATAGACTAGAAAGCAAATAAACACACTAGTAGAGCATATAGACGCATAAACAAGTCAAGTATAGGAAACTCGACCGACTTGATATCCCAACCACTGATAAGATTCATATCAAATCTCACTGCTCGTAAGGAGGACGAGGGTTCCTACTTCCAATTCCACTTGCCTTCTCGAAATTGTCTGATGCTGACTTCCGACGAAACCTAAATGAGTCTGAGCCGCCTTCTGACACACCATTTTCTTAAGTTAGTCTTAAGATGTAAGCAGAGACTTATCATGTAGCTCTTAACAACGGATGCTTAGGTTCTAACCAAGGGCGGATCTACCAAGATATGATTTGTGGCTCAATCCACCATTGATATTGTCCATTACAAGGCAACAACCAAATTTTGTTTTATTTTATATTACAACAATTATTTGTCCCACCCTTGATATTGTTCGCCCCTCATTCCAACCCCATACACAAAAAGCGATTGTTATGTTTGTTTTCACTGTTTAATTTTATTAAAACATTTGTCAATAGATGATCGATATTTCTCAATTTGAAAAGGAATTGAGGACACGAGTAGCCATCTAAAGTACCAAGTCGTTGCTACTGAACATAGGCAACAAATTTGTCTAGTTGCAACAACTAGCCACTAAGATTGACGATCTTGAGGGTGAGTTTAATACGTGGGACGAAACAAGATAGGATAGAACCTTGTTGTCCCATATTTTGTGTGACATTGGTCTGGACCAAGACAAGACATAATGGTACAAAAAGGTTCTTTTTTTGTCCCACCGATATAGGTGGAACAAAAAGAGATGGACAAAACAAGATTGATCAAGAAATAAACTATCCTATGTCAAATTAAAACTCAAAAACCTCCACAATTCTTTCACCTGCCTATTTTACTCTTGTTGTCTTGTCCTGTCCAGTATTGTAAATTTGCACATCAAACACACTATAAGGGTCGAAATACAATTCTCAAAACGACCTCCACATCTTCGTGCGCTAGCCCCATCTGTTTACACTAACTACTTTTGTTGGCAAGCAAAATAAACCCCTCTTCAAATCTCATACTCCATATATGGTTGAAGCCACACACCAAGAATCACTAGTCAGGAGGCTTTCTTGCATAGCAATCGTATTTAGGTATCATATTACTGATGCTTTTGGTTTATTGTACATGTTTATATCAGATAAAGATATTTGTGATGGACTAAACTTGCTTGACCAAATTTGCTCAATTATTAGAACTTTGAACAATTCAAAGATCCAAAGGCCACAGTTGAAAACCAAAGCTTTATATACCAAAAAATGTAATCTACGTGCAAAGCTTTGTTATCCAAAAGATGTAATCTACTTACATATAAAACTAAACCAAGTGAACCAATATATCTCACTCGAAAGTAAAGTCCGATAATATGATACAAATGCAAACTTGTCCTCTACTCCAACCACTAGTCATGCAAGTAATCCACGTATATGTGTGACATAAGTAATCAATGTATAAATGAAAGATCGTGTGAGAAAGAAAGTTATGATGAGAAACGTTAGGAGAGATCTGAACCCTTGATCACTTTGAATCCCATATCCACCTATAAATTACGCTTTAGAAGGGAACTGATCTCGTAGATCTCGGTGCACCTCATTAGTGTTAACGTTCAATTACGGTTGATATAAGGGTGGTGATTACGTTTTTCACCATAACTTCCTTTCTCATTGGAACCAACCCTCAATGTATGTTTGAAGAATATCTATTTCATAGTTGACAAAAATACAATGACCTTAGTACCCTTGTTTCTACTTTGTTTAAAACCCGACCTTTAAGTCCGGCCCGGTCCAGATCTGCAAGTCAGACCATGACGTCATCAGGCAAGGCCGGACCAGACCATCAGTCATAATTTTTTTTGGAATGGGTCACAGTTTTATTAGGACGGGACGTATATAAAAATAAAAATCGGCTGAATATTGGATAAAATAATTTGGTTAGATCATGATCATCTCACACCAAATCAAACCAGACTCTTTTTAGACATCGTTATGAGACCATTGACGAGATCAATCTTAGACATGTACAATTCTGTAGTAATAATATTGTATTGTTCTCGTGGGCCATCAATGGCAAACAAACAACATTCCCCACTGCCAATAATCAAACGAACACAGTGACCATTTTCAATAATTATGGATCCTTCCGGAATCTGGATCATCAACCTCGATAGGAAAGCCCGTTTCACCCATCTAGCAACCAAATTATATAACAAGTGCTGCTAAAGAATAAAATTGAAGCTTACCGGCAAAAGGAGATACCGGAGGTGTAGATGCGGCCGGAGATGCCGGCGGCGTTTCGCCCAGGCTTCTCTCAGGTTTTACAATCATAATACTCCGTGTTACTTTCATCGAAGGATACTCTACTGCAGTATTCCCAACCGTTTCCGATTCTGTATCACAAAGTAAATTTGTGATTATTTGAATAAGAGATCTTCTGATTTTACGAACAAACATCATGTTTTTTGCTTTTTCTTTGTGAAAATAGCGTTTTCATTGCGTCTGATAATATAAGTTCATCAAAACTAACCCTAGCTTCAAGGATCTAAACAACCACAAGTAATACATCATCACGTCAGAACTCTGTTGATTTTGGAGAAAAACTACTTAACCGAGCGTTGTACTTGTCAAATCAAATTAAGCTAACAGTATTCTTATTGACAAATGTTTGTGATCACAATAAGCAAATGAGATGCGATCGAGAAGATTGATGATCGTATGAAAAGCCAAACGCCTCTATAAAATATTTGGCACTACTTATTAAGGTAAGGTAATGAACGATTTTATTGTTAAAATTAACAGGTAATTGCGTACCCTTGTCTGAATTTAATGATCGGAAACTAAGGTTAGATTGTTTTCGCAGCTTTCCAAGTCCTTTCTCCGGCGGAGGTCCGGCGACTGTGTCGTCCCAGAGCTTGGCGAGTAAGCTCATGGCTCAGTGCAGAGCAAAAACCGGACGTTTACTTATAAGGATCTAAAGCGAGCTCTATAAAACTCACCATAGGAGGAAGTAAGGGGTGGACAGGGGAACAAGCCTTTATTTATGGAAATCTCAGGGGTTAAAGGTCGAACTTGTTCTTGGAAAGGAGACCAAACAATAGCCGTCGATCATCAATCTGGTTAAATTCACGTAGAATGGACGGCAGATCGTTAAGCACGTAGATAAGATGAATGGTGACGTAACAAAAGTTGAGATGAGATTGCCACGTGTGGCGTCGAGCGTATTAGTGGGTCCTCTCACGTGATGGCGCTGCTCTCCGGGAGTAATGACCCATAATTATTTCCCCAACGCTAAAATTAAATAATGTATTGCTAAAATAAGTATCAATAACTGAATCGATATAATACCCTTCTAGGTATAGGTATGAATAATTATTGTATTTTTCACATCTTTATCCTTATTTAATGTCTTTTTTCATAACTTATGAATACTTATACATTGATTAGGGGTAAATTTGAGAAATTAGTTATTTACTTTTGAAAGTATGATACTTATTTTGGGATAATATAAACAAAAATAAGGACATTTATTTTAGTACGTTTTTTGGATAGTTATAATCATCTAGGTTAGGTTAGGTTTGGTTCATAAAACTAGATAGCTACAACATCCATTAACACAATTCGTCATCCGAGCATATCGTAGGGTGTTCCGTATGATGTATTAAACACTAATTAATGAAAATGAAAATAAAAGATATTTGCTCCTATATAATATTAGTAAAGTGTTCTGCTCGTTCGGTTTATGCAACCTTAGATTTCAACACAAAAATAGAACTCGGTCCAAGTATACACCTTCAACTACTATCGTCTTGTAACAAGTAATAATGATATAAGTACCAAATATCGTTCTCACAGAGAAAAACTTTGTGAAGTTCTTCCAAAGTTCAGTCTATAAAAAACTAATTTCAGATGACAAATCGAGAGATTTAATTTATCTAAAATTGGGTGATTTGATTAGAAACTAAGAAAATATCATTCCTAAAAAAGAAACACAGGGTGCAAATGTTGATTAAGACACTAAACAGATGATTCAGCAAAAAGGTGGCATAACATTTATGTCTCATTTATATAAAATCACATAATGATTTTATATAACTGTCACAATATCAACTATCGGATCAGACAGCCTCCCAAAAGTACACACATGTCGACGTGCTATCGATACAATATCATTTATGTTAGACGATGTGAATCCTAGCACAACACAGTGTTACCATCCTACACCGTAGGGGTATAGTATTTTTCAGATACTAAAGCTATTTAGAGCCTTCTCCAATTACCTCAGGTTTTCTTATTTATCTTAACTCTGAAAGTTAATGCATTTTCATACACAAAATTAGTTGTCAATAAGTTTTAATGTAATCTTCAATGAAATATTAATCACCTAAAACTAGTGATGGCCAAACCGGCCTGGAACCGGTGAGGACCGGTTATGGACCACCGGTTACATCCTGTTATGGTTTTTGTCGGATTTGTGGGACCGGGATCGGCCAGGCCCGAAATATTCAAAAAATATGACATTTTTTTATAAATAATCGTTAACTAGTCGTTTTTTTACCTTTTTTATTTTTATTTTTTGGCTTCTAAACACTATAAATATGTAACAAGGTTGAGTGGTTTACATACCAAGTCCTCAATTTGCAAAAAACTCAAAACAAATGTTCACAATTCTCGTAATAAAACGTATTTTTAAAGTGTATTTGAGTGACTCGTACGACAAATTTAATATTGTATTAAAAATATATATCATTAAAAAATTAAAATAATAATAATTTTTTTAGGTTAGGATTGGGACCGGCAGCCCATAACCGGTTATAAACTAGCCTAACCGGTCTTCATCTATTCAATCGGGACCAGCTACAACCGGTTATGAGAAATCTTGAGGCCGGTCCGGGACCGAGTTTTGGCCATCACTACCAGAAACAAATAGTTAGACTATAATGCTAATAAGATACCTCTTTACTTTCACATCGGTTTTGTCTTAATTTTCCCTTACACCCCAAGCTAAGGCGTTTAGCCCATTATTGCTCGATTTCTTATCATGAAGAATGTAAAGACTGAAAAATAAATAACTGATACGAGAAATTAAATTGCAGAAATTAAATTGCGAGAAATTAAAATACTGGAAATTAAAGTACGGAAATATAAATTACTAAAATTAAAGTGCTGGAATTAAATTATAGAAAAGTAAAGTGCAGTAAAGTAAAGTGCATAAATTAAAAGACTGAAAAGTAAAGTATTGGAAAGTAGAAGACTAAAATTAAATTACTGAAAAGTAAATACTAGCAATTAAAATTATTCTAAAAAAAAGACATAAATTAAAGACTTGTAGGAAAAAAAAACTAGAGAAAATTTGCACTCTAAGTAATGAAACTTATCTTGTTACAAAACTTCCAAGACAAGTTTCGTTACTAAAAGTGAAGAATTACTTGTAAACACTTGAAAACATATTCTTTTATCTATGTAAATTAATCGAGAGTAAGAACAGAAATTAGATGAAACTTGAACACTTGCACTTGACTTAATACTTGAGAACACAATAGCAAATTTACTTCAATAAATTATGTTCTTATTTGAAAGCAAGAAAACCGAAAGCTTAAACAAAATATTCAAGAGAAAGTATTTTAAAACCCAAAGGTTGTAAGTATTTTTAACCTAGAATTAACTCCTATTTATAAGGAGTATGAAGCTTACATAAGAAAACTAGCTAATAAGACAAAAGGATGCTTCAAGGAAGGCTTTAACCAGGCCCAAGACCTTAGAATCTGCAGCTCCAATGGAGCAGCCCAAAATATTCGACCTAGGGAAAGAGTGCAGCCCACTGCCTAGTGGTGCAAGACTATTGCCAACTCCTACAGGACTGCTGCAGGACTTGGCCAAAAACCTTCAAAATTTTGTATAAATGGCAAAATAACTGTTGGTCCCGTGAGGGTCTAGAAGAAGAGAAACAGTTTATAGAAAGGGGGGGATATATACAAACACAATATTTTTTAAATTTAAAATATATATTGATAAAGAAGATTAATACATATTTTACAAGATTGTTTGCGGAAAGATAAGTTAGTAAAAACTTATCTAAACAATCTTCAGTTACACACAAAGTCTTAGCAAATACAAGAAAAAAAATTGCTGTAAAGAAGATCCTTTACTTAAGCTAGAAAATGCTTGAAGTAAGAATTAGGGTTAGAGAGTGAGTTGCGCGCACTCTGCATGGTGAAGAAACACTTCTATTTATACCCAGTGCATTAAATGTTCATTTAATGCAATATGGTAGGGTTAGAGTGTGTGTCAAGCCTTAAGAAGAAGACTTATCCTTTGCTACAGTGAATAGTACAAAAAAACACTATTCATGAGCAGACATCCTTACCTAAAGTTGGTGGACAATAGAGTCGACTAGTCGGCTCCGTATCATACCAACTTTCATAAGGGTATGGGTTTTGTCCTTTGTGTTCATAAAGACAAGACAACAACAATCGTGCTAAGCAAGCTTCCTTTGATCGCTGAGTGCTGAGATGACCTGAAGGTTTCATCATCATTCGCTGAAGCTTGAGCAATTTTCACACTTATGTAGACAGCCTTGTAATCACTGAATACCGCTTCAGATCACGTACTTGTCAGTCTCTAATCTTCAGTTTCAGTCTTCGATGTTTGCTAAAGGTTCTTTGGTATGAGTGTTGTCTTCTTGAAGTATTGCTGTCTCTGATAGAATTACAGTGCAGGTTCTTCAGCGATCACTGAACATACTCAGTGAAGATCGTTGGAACTGAAAATACAGAAACATAAATACAACGTATAAGTGAAAAACGGATTATCATCAAATCACTGAGAGAGGATCAATAATCTCCCCCTATTTGATGATAACAAGATAACATAAAAAATGTTATCTTATCAAATAATAGTAAGGAAGAGTTACATATAAAGTACATGTCCCTTTTTACTATTTTGGGATCTTTTTCAGTTAGCCAGTCTCAGCTTGAAAATTTTCATAAGTTATATCTAAGAAAATTGCAAGTACGGAAACTGAAGCTGAAAGCTTATTCACTGACTCATAGATTGTCAGCGAATGTGAAAAGTAACATCAGAGCTCGTAGACTTGTGTCCCTATTACTTTTTTCAGGGATCTTTTTCAGTGAAGTACATGGAATACTCATTTTATTAATCATAGGAAATATTACAAGTATTACAGTACATGTCAAGAACTTACAGAATATAAGTACAATCACTAAAAGTAGACATGGTACACAAAGTTACAAGGAAAAGTGGATTGTTGTTACAAAGAGAAACTATTCTAGAGATCTTAGATCTATGTACCCAGGTACATTTTCACCAAGTGTTCTTCGACGTAGGAATTCCCTTCGTATCTTCAGATCTACGACTTTTCCAGGSATGCTATCATCWATCCAGAGCAAAAGATAAACCAAATGATCCATTGGACATAGATGTAGCTCTGACATTCTCTGAAATCTGACTTCACCTTCATAGTCAAGGAATATAACTCCTAACTCAGGTTTTTAAAATGCATAGAGTTGAGTGTATAGGGACCCTTATCTGGCAAGTCAAGATTCAGCGTAGAAATGTCTATACTCTTATGACCCTTCAGGACTTCATCTAAGGAGAACCTTGTTTCATGTTCGTTCCTTAGGAATGGTCTATCATTAGGATCAGAGAGCTTGAGTTTCTTCTTCCCACCCTTCTTCAGAGTTAGCCTGTCAGGGACCTTGACATACCTGGACATCCTTTTGATAAGCTCGTTGATGGTGTACTCGATAAGTGTCTTGTGTCTCGACTTGGATTGCTGAATGGCTTGTCTGATCTCCATCCATTCGCTGAATCCATAACAGCCTATGTAGGAAGGATACTCGGTAACGACATCAAGATTGTCCTTGGTGATGAACATTGAGACCAGCATTCCACCGTCTTTAGAACGTCCGCTGATGCTGACGCTGATAATCGAGCAGGGACTAATTCTCTTTTTCAACTTGGCTTCGCTCCAACGCTTATCTTTTTCCACCAGCTTCA